TCAAACAGCTCATACACAATTCATCTAATAATTTAGACATTAAATTAAACGTTATACTCGTTAAGCATGATAGTACATGCAAAACATGCATATCCTTATAGAACATTTTGGCATTAAGATTTCTTTCAAATTGAGTCAAGAACCCTATAAACTGAGTTAGGGTGAGTAGTGACATACATTTTATATAGGTAATACAATATTATGTCTATAATCTTTAAAGAAATTGCTACTCAGTGGACAATCTGATGGAAATAATCTCTCTATTTCTGTGATTTTTGTGCATTTTGTAATGAACCCCAAATAAAATTTGAGCATCAACAATAAAAATAGACACAAATGAGAATTAATTTGGATAGATCCTTTGGTGAGAAAGGTTTGTCGAACTCCTTTGATTGCAGGCGTTTGTATCTTGTCAAATCTGTTGAAATCTCTTTTTTAGAAAGCCATATGAAACTCTAGGGGTGTTTTTTATTCAGAAAATTCAGAAAAACAGGAGCCTGGGGCAAAAATCCCCATTCGTTCTCCATGCATCTCATTGCACCCATCTTTTTTATTTTGTATTTTATTTCTAGTGTTTTGTTTTAGTTATATTGTACACTACATCATCTGGAAGCGTGGTCGAGAAAAATAAAATCGATTTAGCGATTTATAACAACACGTCGTCCTCAGTTTTCCAACACTTTCTCCACCACGCTCTCTTTGGGCAATCAAACGGCTTCAAAACTCCATCTGAAGGGCCCATTTGTACACAGTGTCACCCAGAGCTGGTTTGTAAATATCTCCACGCTTTGGTGAAGAGGGATTGCTGGAACAAACGATGAACTCCAGAGGCGAAATGAGGATAATGATGAGGGGCCAGTGTGTTCAATAGAAGGTCAAAAAGTGCAGGGCCCGGGGCCATGAGAGCGTTAAAGAGACAGGGTGAGAGAAAGCACTTGACATTTATACAGCCCATCGTAAAGAAACAGACTGACAGCTACTCTAACAATCCAATGGGAGAGTCGGATCGGCCACATCCTCACGTGCTTAAAGCTACAGCTGGATGTTGTTTGCTGGCTCGGTTTGTTCTTGAAGGGAGTGTCTGGAGTCGAGCTGTCTGCAGTATTTGATGCGCAGATAAATGCAGAGAGCCGAGCAGGTTTTGATCTGCATAAAGACTTTAACCTCTATTTCCTCTCAGCTGCGGTAAACGCCGTGGGTTTGGGAAGGAGGGGGAGGGGGGGGGGGGTCAACCTTGCTTATCAAATATTTTTCAACTTAAATGACGGATTTATTAAACAAATAGGTTTTTGGTCTGTCTCTGAACCCCTTGTGATTGAAATACGCCGTTGTGTCAACAGCCCGCCTCCACTCGAGGCCGGAGAGACGCTGAAGATCACTGAATAAATACAAGTTTGAAATGAACACAGATCCGGAGGATTCGCTCTCCCAACCCCCTGTTTGACATTTCCGTCCACAGGCCATCCTTCATGGACATTGTTATAAGCGATACTGCATTTGCTCTGAGTGCACGTGTTTCCCATAAAACAGGTTGCTTTAGTTGCTAATCGACAAATTGCTTAATAACAATGATAAAACAGTTACACTCTAAAAAACGCAAATATGGACAAACCCAAATGTTGGGTTAAATATGTAATTAAAAAAAATTACAGTTGAAAGTGAAAGTTGAAGTTGGGTTCAAATTTGAAATTACATTTTTAACGCAACATTTGGGTTAAAACAACCCAGCGTCGTTTAGTGTAACATCATAATGTCATTTGAAAGATTATTGTGTTTCTTATTTTAGGTAGCCTAAATGTATTGGGTTACACTTTAAAAAATGCTGGGTTGTTTTAACCAAATTTAGGTAAAAAATGGACAAACCCGAGCGTTGGGTTAAAATTTGAATAAAAAAAATAACCCAACGTCTGGGTTTGTCCACATTTGACCCAAAGTTGGGTTGAAACAACCCAGCATTTTTTTTTAGAGTGTATACGGTGTCCTTGTAACAGTACTGAGTCAACGTAATTAACAACATGTTGGGTTGAAGGTTAGTTGCATGTTATTACTATATGTAACAATGACTGTAATATATAGCCTATATACAATAAGTGAACATTTAAGGCTGATAAATAATTTCCAAATGTGAGATTAATAGTTTTATTTCAAGTTCACCTCATGATTAGATTTTTTTCTGCTCGGTGGGGAAAAAACATCAAACAATTCTTTTGAAATAAAATAAGCTATGCTGTCCAAACGGGTTGATTTTTATCGGGTAGGACAATTATAATTTATTTTTATCGAAGGTTATGATAATGCTCACTGCTCGTTTAACCGTGCCACCGAAGAGACATTTTTTCTCTCTCTTTCACATCCATCCACAGAATGTTTCTCTTTTCGCTGTAAATGGGTTAGTCGGTGTTCTTGTTGTTGCTGTTTGTAGCTGCTGAACTTTGAGGGTGGGATGCTGTTGAGTTGTGTTGATGAAGTATCTCTTGATTAATAGATCCATGAGGCAAACCGGCTGACATATGGCTCATGAAGCAGCTGGGATCTGTACCTGCGGCATCCCCTCCGGCCATTAACATATTAGAGGCTTTAGTGCAGGCAGAAAGACAGCAGCAGCCTAGAGCTGTTTGATATAGACTCTCAATAATGCATTACTCTTCAATCTGCGAGGGAGCTGTTCGTGGTGCTGAAATATGGAGCGTACGCTTCTCAATGGAAACGCGTATAGTTCCAAGTTTTAAATTAATTTAAAAAGGGGTTGCACTTCATTTTACAGTACGTGCACTTTTCAGTGGACTTACAGTGAACTTGAGTAAGGTAACATGGTTTAAGTTAATGTTTAGGGGTAGGTAGTACCGATTCCGAAATGTCATTACAACAATATGTTCATGCACAACAGGACTGCAAAATAAAGTGCTAAACAGTGTGCGGGATTTGCTAAATAATAATACAAAAAGATAAAATAAAAATAATAATGATAATAATAATATAGCTTATATATATATATTATTTAAATTTTAAACAAAATAATTAATCAGTGTAGTCAGGCTGATGCAGTCGATTATGTAGCTATTTGACTTTTATAAACGAGTTAATTTAGATTTTACATTGAATACATTTTAGATTATTTATTAAAATATTTTCTAGTGTGAGGAAAGAAACGGATCCGACATCAAAACTGAATCCCAAGGCAAACATCAAATAGCCGAATAAAAGCTAATAAAATTACAGAGAATTGTTTCCTTGGAAAGATTCGTTTGTAGACATTTTCTATATAAAATAGAAGAAAAAAATTACTGGATCTGAAGTGTGCGCAGTGTTGGATTCCAGAAACTCACTTAAAGCTGAAAATGAGTATTTCTCTCACTTAATATGCAGTCAAATTGAGCGTCGAATTGCAAAACGATCCAAAAGCACGAGGGAGACTTTCAGTGCCAGTCAAATCATCCTTTCCCAAAGAAAATGTCCATATATACTCACTGCGTTCTTCTGTTCGTTGCCAAAAGCCAAACAGGAGCAATAAATGTTTCTTTCTCCAGCAGCAGCAGCACTGCAGCTGCGACCTGCTTTCATCAAGTGCTTCCCTGAAAAACCCCGATAGCTGTCTGAAAATATTGCATTTTATATCAGCAAAGCGCGATTAATATTGCATCACCTACATATAACATATCTTTTTTAAAAGGCAGCAAAATGTAAAGCTCCCCTCCCCTTCCCCCTGAATTTCTCTTCGATATTAGGGTGAGAAAGATGTGCAGTGTCATTTTTTTATTTATTTTTTTTATGAATAAACAAACTTTTGAAATTAGACGCGTTTTAGTGAGACTGTTTGGAGACGGCCTTCTCTCAGGCTTCATGAAATGTTTATTATCAGTTCGGCAGGGTAAAACCCCACCATCTCAGCTACAGCCTTCAGGTCTGTTTCGAGGAAATAATACCAAAGAGTTTTCGGCTGCTATTATAAGCAGATATCGAATCGCACAATTCTATTCAAAGGGAAATCTAATGTAGTGCTCATGTTACCTCATTTAGACGACACGTGCATGGCCAAAATTCCATTTGTTTGACACACTAACACCCCATTAGGGCGCCGATAACAATTACCGAGCTTTTTAATTAGTGTCTTGTTGTATTCCGTTTATTAATTTTCCAAACCACAGAGCATGAATTATTTAATAAACCGTCCGTATAAGGGTAGGCCTATTCAAATGTAGGAGAATAATGGCCGAAATCGTGCGACATTTATTAAAAAGTATTATTATTATTATTATTATTATTAGCCTATTATTATTATTATTATTTAAAATACCATTTTGTATTTTATGTATTTACTATTTTATTTTGGTCTGCAATTTATTATGTTCAATCGAATACATTTTCTCGTCTCGCCTGTAAAAACATGAGTTTCGTGGTAAAAAATAAAATAAAAATATTTTCACTGCATGGTCTAACGGAATGCAGTCTGAGAAATCCAGATCATGGAAATGAAGAGCATAAAAATGTATAAATAATGCATGTTTTTGGAGTAATGACTGCATAGATTTGTGGTGATAAGGAAGCCACTATAAGACACTATAAGACAAAGAAAGAAAGAAAGAAGAAAGAAAGAAAGAAAGAAAGAAAGAAAGAAAGAAAGAAAGAAAGAAAGAAAGAAAGAAAGAAAGAAAGAAAGAAAGAAAGAAAGAAAGAAAGAAAGAAGAGCTATGGTTTGGTTAATATTTAGTTGATTATTTATTTATTTTTTGCGCCATCTTTCGCGTTTTAATTATGGCATAAAACTTTTAAGTCCATTTTTTCGCTTTTTTCTCCCCAATATGTATTTTAAATGTAATTGTGCCGTGGCTACATCTGATCATTTCCAATCCTAATAAACATTAATATTTTTTCCCCATTTCTCATTTATGTGTAGGCAAAATATAAACAATCATATACAGTAGCTAACTATGTCTGAGTGTGTCTGTCTGTGCTATAGAATAAGATGACAGCCTCCACTTTGATTTCCATCGTTTATTTAGAAGATCGCCGGGACTGGAGCCCTGCAGCTGGATTTGGCTTACAGAATGAGAGGAGTGTGTGTTGGGATGAGAAGATGGAGAGACAAGTGCACAGGTATGACAGAGTGATGCGCACGTGGCCGCTGTTTGTAAACATACGTGTGCACAAAATAAAATCATTACAACCTTTTTTTCCCCCCTTGAACAATTAACACGACAAACAACGTTGTGTCTTTATGTGAAAACAGGCATTAAACAGTGACTTACACCATCCACAAAGGTCTACCAGTAGATACTCTATGTAGTGCTTGGTAATTCTTTTTTTTTTTTCTTTCGATGCATAGAATGTTTGCACTGCAAACCAAAGTATACAAACCAACGAAATTATATTTCAGGACAATTTTGCTTTGTAAATATAATCATCTTTATCATGCGAGTTAACTAATATCCGCAGAGAAAGAATTCTGATTTGCCAAAACAATAATAAACAGACTAAATAATAAGTCATAAAATAAGAAAATCGGAATTCAGTTTTGCACGGTGAGCAAGTGTCATTTGTACGTATATTTATATATATACACAAAAGCATTAGAATATATCTAACCAATCTAAATAACAGTAGATTTCAGTGCAATTTTTAACAAATACGAGCGGTGGTTGCCACCTTTATTTAAAACGGATTCTGTATACTTTTCCTGTTCGGTTGTGTATTCATCAGAGCAGACCTTTGAATGATCACATTAGTTCATTAGCAAGACTGTGAAAAGGGGGTCTGCTTTTAACACATTTAATAATCAAAAATATAGCAGTTCCCTGTTACGAATGAACAAGTACACAAATATGCTGAACATAAATAAATACATAAATAGGATAGAATTAAACTATGAGGTAATCCATCAATGGCTATTTTTCGTCATTCAGAACAAACGTCATCGGGGCGACAAAAACAAATGCAGAGTTGAACCGCAGAAAAAAAAAAGTAGTTCGTCTGGATTACCTGTTATTTGCATACTTCACATTCACCAGTACAGTGAAAAGAAACATGAGTAGTGAAAATCAAACGGTACTAATCGTGAGCGCACGCGTTTGAGCCAAAGCGATTTTCCTTGGTCCCCAAAAGTCAGTTTTGTGTTTGTTTGTTTGTTTGTTTGTTTCCCTACACAATATAGTCCATCAGTGAGCCGCGGAAAATTTCAACCTCTTCTGTTTTTGTCTTTGGTTGCAAAACCATACTCGCACCACGTTCTTTTTGAGGTCCAATTTCTCAGCTATAGCCGCGATTTTCTCCGAGGACGGCCGAGGCTGGACCGCGAAATACGCCTCCAGAGATCGCTTCTCCGGGGCCGCTATTGAGGTCCGCTTGCGCTTCTTCTCGCTGCCGTTGAAAATGTCGGGTTTGCTCATTTTCTCGCGCTGGGCGCCCTCGGCCTCCTCCAGCCACGCCTGGAGGATGGGTTTGAGCGCGATCATGTTGTTGTGCGACAGAGTTAGAGACTCGAAGCGACAAATGGTGCTTTGGCTCAGGGAGCCCACGCCGGGGATCTTCAGGTTGGCCAGCGCGCCCCCCACGTCCGCCTGAGTCACCCCGAGTTTGATCCTCCGCTGTTTAAAGCGCTCCGCGAACGCCTCCAGCTCCCTAGGGTCCGTGTCCGAGTCGTTGATGGAGGGCAGTCCGTTGTTGATGAGTCCCGGCGCGCCCTGGTGCGCACCGCCGTGGTGGCCCGGTAAGAGCCCGTGGTGAGTGAGCGGCGAGTTCATGTTCATGGCAGCCTGGTGGGACAGGTGGCTGAGCCCGTGCATGTGCGAGTGCGGGTGCGGGTGGGCCGACGTGGAGATCAGGCCCCCGCCGCCGCCTCCTCCGCCTCCGCCGCCGCCGGCCCCTTCGTGACCGCTGGGCATCAGCGCGAGCGACGGAGAGCTGATGTGCTCCATGAGGTCGGGCGGCTCCAGGTTCTGGTGGTGGTGGTGGTGATGGTGGTGGTGGTGGTGGGCGAGTGGCACGGTGGAGGTGGACGAGCATGGCACGGTGTTCATCGTGTGGTACGTGGCGTCGGGCTTGAACGGGTGACTCTTACCCTGGGACACGGCCATGTCCACGGCCGCCAGAGCTTCGGCGCGGGCCAGGAGCGTCTCATCCAGACTGGCGAATATGTTGCTTTGTAGCTGGAGGAGTCGGAGAGAGAGGAGAAAAACAGAGAAACAGAAAAGAAAGTGGAGATGTCAGCTGGGGAATAGTGTCAACACATAACACAGAGAGAATATTCCTTTTAAGAGGCTTCCAGTCATAAAAATTAATACAAAAAAGGCTGAAGCCCGAGCCTTCAGTGAGCATGCCTTCAGAAAAGATCACAGGCGCGCGGATGATTGCTGTGGAATACATGAAAAAAACATTAAGGCAGAATATGCGCCTCCAGCGCTCCTCCTCGCGCGCAGAGGAGAACGCGGGAGAAAAGCAGAAGTTTGGAGCTCGTTTACCTGTGGAGTCTGCAGACAGGCTCTCCTGATCGCCTCCGAGCTCGAGTGCAGAGATGTGTACTTGTGCTCAGGTAAGCTGGGATGCATGGCGAAATGCGCCTGTTTGCTGTTCATGGACATCATGTTTGCGCTAGATCCAGTTCAGATAAAGTGCACGAAAGGAGGATAAAACCCAAAGCGAGAGAGGCCAGGTCCTCCCGCCTCCTCTTCTGGCGTCGGGCGGATGCGGTGGCGCTCGGCTGCTGATGGTACAGAGAAGATGCCCGCAGTGTGTGCGTGTGTGTGTGTGCGTGCGTGAGTCTCTGTTTGGCTCTGCTGTGTGTGGATGAGGAGCGCTCTTACACCTGAGTCCCTCACATCTCGTCCGGCAGCCTCGCCTATTCTCGCGAGACGAGCGCGATTGACTCTCTTCTCCTCCTCTCCTCTCCTCTCATCGCGCCTCTTCTCGTCTCTTGTCCTCCTCCTCGAACTGTAAATCGGCCTAATGACGGAGAGGGGGGGCTTCCATACCTGTGGATTCCGCGCGCATGCGTGCCGCCTTCGCTCATTTAGAATGTTTGTTGCGCTAGTTTAAACGGTGTAAACAGTGTAAGCGCCAACATTCGATATGCAAATGAGGGCTGTCTGTGTAAATGTCCGAAAAATAATAATAATAAAAAATGTTCAAAGCTTATTACGTAAAAAAAAATACTTCCAATCTAATCAGACACTTTTAAGTTTGTCATAACTGTGTTTTTTAAATATATATTATATTGTTTTTAATAATCATTTTTATTTTTAATGAATGTAATAAAAGCAAAATGGAGAAATTGTTTACTATAGCTAGTTTAACTGCGTGATGAATTTTATTTTATTTTTATTAATAGTTTGCAAAAATAAAATGCATCAATAAAATGGATTCGTTTATCTCAGTGTCAGGAGAATTAGCAAACGTGAATATTTTAATTTAGCTATAATGTTTATGGTTGCACCGCGCGTTGATTAATTATCAGAGAAGAACAACGAATTAATAATTGCATAATATAAATATATAACGAAAATCGTTTTATACATAAATATTCATTCATAACAAAATTCGCAGACATCAAAATCGAATCTGTATATATTTTAGATATTGTTTTTGAATATTTAAATTTCGCTCACGTTAACGCGTCATGGTGGCATTGCCTTGATTGATTACGCAACTTTAACCATCATGTATATTTCACTAAACTCTAATCACTGCATGAATTTTTAATCGCCCGGCGCTTTTAGTTGGAGCTAATGAAGTGTTAATTCACTAGCATTAATTAATTCTTTAAAAGACTGTGAAGGAGGTGGGTAGTAAATGGATTTGTTTAGTATTCCGGTGATGAAATAATTCAGCACCGAGCACAGAAAGACAATGAGTTTGCATGCACTATTACTAAAATTACGACGTTTATACTGTTGTTGTCATAACACTAAACCAAAGGTCTTGAACATGTGAAAATGAAACTATAAATGATAGGCATACAAACGTTTTTTTTTTATTTAGATAACACCCAGGTACAAAAACATTTACTAAAATATACAGAAAATGACTTTTCAAACTGTATGCACGAACAGAACTCATTGTTTTCAGCTTAAATACAGATTTATTCAGAATACCAGGTAAGTCTTTACAACCACAAAAAGTGAAATTGAAATATTTAATTTCAAGAGAAAAGTGTAACCTCGGGACACTGAAATGGTTTTTATATCATTCAGTAACATGATCCAGCGCACACTGCTGTCATCATAATGAACAGTGAGGCAAATGTGTAATAAAAAGCCCTGATGGAACAGAAAGGCAGTTCAATCAAGTCATTGAAATCATGCTTGAAATGTTTCTGCTTCTACTTCAGTTTGGAGAGTTTGGAGGGGCTGGACATGGACGATCCTGCGGGACACTTGCGTTTGTTGGGCTGGCCGGGATTTTCCACCGGGTCTCCAGCTCTGCCGCTGACCTCAACATCACAATGGGTGGTCTCCTGGGTCAAAGATGTGGTTTGGTGCTCTCCTGCTGTTCCGGGATCAGCCAAGAGGTTGCTACAGAAATCCAGCTCTGGTATTTGGGTGGCATCAAAGTCTGGAGAGCGTGAGGATGAGGATGTCAGGGGAAGGTGAGAGGCCTGACTGTTGGAGCTCTCACCCTCAGCCATCATAGAGTCCAGCTCAGAGATCTTGTCCAGGTACGCCGCATCCATACAAGCCTCGCTGTTTCCCGTGGGGTCCTCCAACTTCTCCTCAGGTCCGCAGTCCATCCAGCCTCCACACAAGCCCTCTCTGTCTGAATTCACAGCAGCCTTCTGACTGAAGGATCCTGGGCTTTGGTTGATTGAGGATGAGCTGGCTGGGCCCTGGCAATCATCAAAACTCAGTCTTCTCAGGTAAGTGAGAGGTCTGAGACCTAACTTTCGGTCACCGCACACCACAGGACTCTTCAAGCTCAGAGATCTGAGAGCCGAGGAGGGTGTAGAGGGAACGGTAACGTCTTTGAGTCCATCCTTCTGTGGACTCAAGGTCCCTGCTAGAAAGCACACATCAGATGTAGTCAGGAGGTGCCCGTGGTTGTCGGGAAGCTCTGAACAATTTCGGTCCAGGTCTGTACAAACAGAAGTTTCCTCCATTTCACTCAGGCTCCTTCGCATCAGGGCAATCCTTTCAATCCCTCCAGAGGCAGCGTTTGAACAAACACCTTCTTCAGGCTGAGGGTCATCCCTCTGGTTCTGGGCTTCCAGCTCTTCGATGTATTTATCGCTGCGCTCCAGAGCTCTTTTCAGATGGGCCACGTCCCGCTCATACTGATGAATTTTAGCCTCGAGAGCTGCAACTGTATACCGGCCAAACCTTAATGTAAAACACAGATAATCCATTTTGAAATATCTGAGGTTATCAACATGTGTAAATATCCATACATATAAAACATGAATATTGTATTTGTTGTCGTCAACTCAAAAGGCAAGTCAGTACACCTCACCAACACTGTGCTTACTTTTGAGGAGATCTGCTGTCCACTTCGGCTTTCAAGTGCATATTTTCCTGGATTAGGTCAAAATTTTGGGACCGCAGAGTTTTGTTAGCCTGAGGGAAAGAAGCATGTTTCTTTCAGAATAGTTGCACAGAAGACAAATAACACCCTTTCCCATATTTCCAATAGTCATAGTCTAGAATATAGAGAACAGCTTTAGGGATGGGCAACGATTAATCGCATCCAAAATAAAAGTTTGTGTTTACATAATATATGTGTGTATAATTAATTTGTATGTATAAATACCCACACATGCATGTATATATTTAAGAAAAATGTGTTATTAATATATCAAATATTTATATATAATATTAATTGTGAATAAATATATATAAAATATATACATGCATGTGTGGGTATTTATATATACAAATTAATTATACACACTACACAAACATATATTATGTAAACACAAACTTTTATTTTGGATGCGATTAATCGCGATTAATCGTTGCCCATCCCCAATACATATGTGCTCTAGATGTGGGCTAAGCACCAAGCCATTGCAACCATATCTATTTACTGTAATGTGATATGAATGATGAGGGGTTTTTAACAACTGATACCAATGATGATGTTTAGAGAGTAGCCCAAATAATGCCACATAGTTAGATGACAGCAAATGAGACAATTTCTCACATAAAAAAAAAAAAAAAAAAATCATTTGACATGTTTCCTCAGAATGTACGAAAAAAAGAACATTATCATCCACTAACAAGAGATGATTTATGAAAATAACAATACAACTTCAGTTTAAATGACCAAGTCAGCACACTTGGTCATTTAAATTGATTATCTCAAAACGGCTAAATTATGTTTTGTTTTGTTTTTTTTTAAAAACAATCCCATTCATACTTCCTTCAGCTTTTCGAGGTCCTGTTTGACATTCCTGTAGAGGTCATTGGCGGCTCTCAGCTTATTGGCCGACTCCTCCAGAGCGCTCGGGTCAACAGTACAGCTTTCGTTCTGAGGAACCAAGACCGTCCTCGGTTCCAGAGCTGTCTTAAGTTGCATCTCAAGGCTCAGGTTTTTGCTTTTCAAGTCCTCATTCTCTTTCAAGAGGGTTTCGATTTCATCCTGCAAGACAGATGATTCATAAGCTCGGGCTTTCGTTGCATACACTTCTGTTTAGCTGTGCATTTACTGAATGAGCACTGTGCCACTGTTCGTCCGACTGTCTTTTTTTTTTATTATTCTAAACTGTTTTAATTATTCGGATTTCTTTTAATTATTTTAATTTCTTCTACATGACCTTCTTAAAAAATTAGCATATTGTGATAAAGTTCATTATTTTCCATAATTTAATGATAAAAAATTAAACTTCCAAATATTTTAGATTCATTGCACACCGACTGAAATATCTCAGGTGTTTTATTGTTTAAATACTGATGATTTTGGCATACAGCTCATGAAAACCCATTTATTTGTATGAAAACACTTCTTTTATTGGTCGGATGAAATATGCTATTTTTTTTAGATAGGAATTTAAGGTTTTCACGAGCTATATGCCAAAATCATCAGTATTAAAACACCTGAAATATTTCAGTTGGTGTGGAATGAATCTAAAATATATGAAAGTTTAATTTTTATCATTACATTATGGAAAATAATGAACTATCACAATATGCTAATTTTTAAGAAGGACCTGTAAAGCACTTTGAATTACCATTGTGTATGAAATGTGCTGTATAAATAAACTTAAATACTTTTTTACAGGCATATTTTAAACTGCCCGGCCAAAAAAAAAGTTGCTGTTTGGATTTAAATAGTCAAATGCTTAAGAGTCTATGATTGGATCAGTGATCATTATGTTTCTAGCATGTTAGTGTTTGGCAACAGTTCTTGTGTAGCTTTTCATTTCTTAAACATGTAGGAAGACACATCATGGCGATATTCCAGGTTGACAATGTCAAGGTTCATAAGGATCAAACTATGAAGGTTGAGAGGAGCATGAAGAATCATTTATACATGTGAATCGACTCCTCTGAGTCCAGAGCTGAAACTCATTCAGTCTTTGGGATGTGCTGGAGGAGACTTTACAGAATGCTGGACTCTTGCATTGGCATTACAAGTTCTTATCCAATTATTGATGCACATCTTGATGGAAATAAATGTGATGTTATTTTCATCAAGAGGTTCATTGCATTGTCATCCTGGAAGATCACGTGTTGAAGATCACATAAAGATTCCAGCACTGATTTTAGAGGGAAACTCTACTCTAAGAAATTTCAATACAGAAAAAAAATTTGTATTAATCAAACCATTTCATTGGGTCTTTGAGCAAAAATACCTCATATTCTCGCAAAAGCAGCTCCCCTCGAGTCTTTCGGAGGCGTCTCTTCACAGAAGAGCTCTCATTGGATTCATTGTCAGTTGTGGCTCCTGTGAGCATAAACACACACACAGAAGAGAAAGAAAGAGAGATATTTAATCACACTCATCTTGCCTAAAACAAACAATGTTTCATAGCTTACACTGAAAAAAAAAACAACAAGATATGATTGTGAGGTCTCATTATTACCAATGATTTCTCTGCAGGGGTTTTCTGGGGTGATGGCCACTCGACAGGTGGGACACTGACTGCTCTTCTCCAGCCAAACTTTGATACAGTTGGAGCAGAACACATGGTTGTTGCAACAAATGACCGGCTGACGCACCTTTGAGGTGTAGATAAGAGCAGACCAAAAGGTAAATGCAACATCATGGCTGTTGTTAACATTTAAGGGATGGTTCACCCTAAAATTTTAATTCTGTCATCATTTACTCACCCGCAAGTTGTTCCAAACCTGTATGGATTTCTTTCTTCTGCTGAACACAAAAGATGATATTTTGAAAGGTATGGGTAATTAAACAGTGGATGGCCCATAGAATGAGAAAAAAGTACTCAATGAAATGTCAGTCAATGGAGGTTTGGAGCAACTTGAGGGTGGGTAAATGATGACATAATTTTTTTTTTTTTTTTTGGGTGAACTATCCCTTTAACATTCCTGCTTTTCTGGTCCATTTTATCTGACATGCTTCTTTCAGGGATTCATTAACAGTCAGCAGAGCACAGTGTTCAGGTGAGGGCTGGAATGTTCGTTTTTGTTCATTTGTGGTTTGGGAGAAAACTAAATCAGAAGGGACTCTTGGAGCTCTACTTTAATAGAAAAAAACTCGCTGTTTTGAGTTACAGAAACGTTAGTATCTTCACATGCACATATTTTTACACACTATCTTCACTAATAGATGATAAAAGAACTGAATATTACATTAACGTGCTTTTAATTTAATGACCGAGATGCGTCAACTATCAACAAACATGAACTAGGCTAACGTTACACGCGCGCACTGCACAACTTTGTGTTTAACTCCGTATTTAAAGTAAATGTGTTAAAGTGTTACCTTTCCGAGGCAAATCTGGCAGGATATCGGTAAAGTCAAAGAAAGAGTGACGTTTTGAAAACTTTGAGCCATGATTTAGTCCTCAAAGATTAGAAACATGATCCAAAACTCCCTCCAACAGAAACAAATAACTAGCAGCACACGCGACTACGGCAAGCGCAGAGTAGTAAACTGTAACGAAACGCGTCTGCCTCAGACTACTGTACATTCTCACTGTGGTGGGTATTAATGCTTTTATAAGGCAAAGTTTTGTATTTATAGAATTGATGGTCTATCCACTAATTCCTCCGTATCTAGTATACCACATTCACTGCTAAAAAATTATTCCTTCAGACTTTAGTTACCAACAGCAACAAACAATGCTGAGTTCACGCCATGTCGTAATTACGGTAGTTTCGAGATGAACACGTGACGTTCCACTCAGAGCTGTTCACCTTCTCGGGGGCTCGGACTGTGGAGTATGCGTTTCAATGGCAACGATATCAACACCTAAATTATTATGCAGTGGTCAAGTGGTAGGAGCTCTGAGAAAATTCCCAGTTTACAAGCTGTAATTACGAGTTCTACGCGGACGTGAACGCTTTTTACAAGTTGGAATCTCGGAGCTCGTCATTACGGTAATTACTAAATGGTGTGGACGCACCAAAAAAATTACCTTAACACATTTATAATGATAAAAACATTGTTAGTAGATAATATTAATAAGATGGTTGTTGTGGTTGTGCATTAATATAAACTTCACTTTATTATAGACAGTCTGAATAATTCTTTATTTCTGGTCTTTTGTGGTAGGCCAAGGTGATTATTGCTGCAGGTAGACCAACTTTGTCAGTGTAGTATAGGCAAAACATAATTGTTAAAGTAGTCATGTTTGGGAGGAATACATTTTATGTATATGGCCTGAACAAATGTAGCCTACTTAAATAAATTCATCTTAAATCACAGCCTGATGTCTGAGTGATCAGGTTGCTCTTAAGGGCATTACCACTTGGTATTTTCACGATGAATCACTATTAGATCAAAAATAAATAGTATTTTATTTGCTTAATATCAAATAAAAGCCAATTTTACTACTCAAAATGCTTCCATGTCCCTCCTGATGCTTCTCTTTACGTCGGCTCTTTGTTTCAAGAGTTTTATTACAACAGTGTAAACCGTTTTACTTCATTTTTATTCGATCTCATAATTCATTGGTCATCGCCAAATGATGGCTTTATTATCCCATAACGACAGACCCAGTGGCGGAGCGCTTGCGAGATAACTTCATTAGCATCGAACTGATGCAAAACAATGTTGTACATTGATTGCATCAAGCGGACTATTGGTGCTGCGACTACATTACTGTCATTTGTTGCAGGTCTGTCATGTCAACACAGCCCAAGGAGACTTCACTTTGTCTAGACTATGAGTAGTCAAACTGTACGCCAGTTGGTCTGAAACTCCGATTTAGACATCTGCATTCCTGGAGAGAGAGTTTGCACACATTTGTAAGCAAAGACCAAACTGCTGAGCACGCTCTTACATAATAACATAAATTTGCCTTGTTTTCTTATTTTTTACAGAACCACCTCCCCATTTTGTCTCTCCTGTCAGTGGGATCAGCATCTCAGAAATACACACAAAAAACGCTTGCTACTCACTTCATCGTTCGTAAGTGGAACAAGAGCTGTGTCGACAAGAGATGTCCATTTCACCACAAGTCTCCAGCGGAATGATTCATCCAGAGCAGTTGGATGACACATAAGGCTGCAAAAAGGCCCATTCGGAGATGACGTTGTTCATAGAGAGGTATGGGTTGATTTGATTTGCTGAGGACTAATTTATTATATTACACTACTGTTCAAATGTTTGGTGTGGGTGCATTTAAAAAAAAAAGTTTTTGGAAGTTTTTTATGCTCTCCAATACCAGTAATATTGTAAACATTATTACAATTTAAAATAACTTTCTACTGTAATATATTTTAAAATGTAATTCCTGTGATCAAAACTGCATTTTCAGCATCATTACTCTTCAGTGTCACATGATCCTTCAGAAATCATTCTAATATGCTGATTTGCTGCTCAAGAAACTGTACTTTTTTAACCTTTTTAATTATTGTCAACATTGAAAACAGATGATACATTTTTTTAGGATGCTTTGATGAATAGAAAGCTCGAAAGAACAGTATTTATTTGAAAAAATAACAATTTAATGCATCCTTTCTGAATAAAAGTGTCAATATATTTAAAAAAAAAAATCTTACTGACCTCAAGCTTTTGAACAATAGTATATATTATGTTATATTATAATTATTCCCAAAGTTCTGATGATTTCAACAACCAGGCACAGTTGCAACATGATGCGTATTGATTATGCTCAGTGTATTTGATGCATAACTATGCGTTTGAAAGACAAATGAGAGGTCTTGTGAAATTAGTTTGAAAATATTTATTTGCAATCGCACATGTAAAAATCGAGCTCAGATCATATTATTGGAACAGTTCAGATACTCTAAAGATTGTATTTTGCCCACATATGCTTCAGACAATGGTTTGTAATCTTTCCCCCATTAATTGGTGACAGTCAATTAATCACAGCCGGTTGAGAACCGCAGGATCTATTGATCTTGTCGGAGGCCTTATTTTTCATCCCTTAAATGACACAGATCGGCACATTTGCCTTGGCCGGGTAATGGAGGGTGGCGAGCCAGTGACCCGTGTGTCAGGCCTACATGTGTCCCATGCTCCCCCGTCATGAAATGGCATCTTTACCATTTAAGCTGGAAAGGTTTAGACTGCCCTAAGAGCAAGGCGCTGGGACAGGCCTTGCTCCGCTGCTCAGCTGACCTTTCTGTTTAAAGCTTAATCACTGGCAAATGCTTACATTAATTAGCCTGCCCTCTATCCCTCTTTCTCTGTCACACACACACACCAACGTCATGCCAGTGGTTTTTGCGTCGCTGGCAAACCAGAATGAGTCGCGCACATCTTGAGGACATTAAGACATTTCCCCCGCACTCCTGCAGGCTCCGTGTATTGATTAGCGTGGCCCCTGACCGCGATCGCTGCGGTGCGAGAGAGTGTGTCATGGAGATGAGGGGCCCCTGCTGTCCATGGGGCTCTTTCCTAAGCCACAGTCGAGCCGCAGCTGACGCCCCCTCCACAGCTCAGGCACCTTTCATTGCCCTTTCGCAACCCTGCCCTTTAAAAGTCGGAGCGGCATCCGGTTCTTTACATTTTGTGTCATGTATTGAAGCCTCACGGCATCTGGAATTATCCATTATGTGTCAGAAACTGTGCTTAAAGCTTGCAAAGGAGGAGTAAAACATCTTTGGAGATGTTCAAACCAGATGTTTTCCTGCGTAAAGATTATTTTGTAGAATTCGTTTTTTTTCGCCAATTCGTAAAACCCCCGGTTTCACGGACGAGGTTTAAGCCTAGTCCCAGACTAAAATGCATGTTTGAACTGGAAGCAACCCGCATTGACAAATCTTAAAATATGTCAGTGCCATTGTTTTGTTTTTTAAGATGGACACAAGTAATGTTTTTTTTAAAAGGCACGTTTATAAAAGCTTCTTAATGGGATAGTTCACCCCAAAATGAAAATTCTGTCAGTATTTACTCACCCTAATGTTGAGACCTTCGTTCATCTTCGGAACACGAATTAAGATATTTTTGATGAAATCTGAAAGCTGGATCACTCGTCCATAGGCTTCTTGAGGGATTGAAACTTTCCGGCCTAGAAAAGTTATTAAAGACATCGTTAACATAGTCCGAGTGACTACAGTGGCTCAATCTTAACTTTATCAAGCGACGAGAATACTTTTGGTGCGCAAAAACAAACCAAAATAACGACTTTATTTCAACTATTTACTTCCTTCTCTTTGGGCCTCTAGTCAGGTAACGTAGTGCGATAGCGCAGAGCTACGTCACACATAGGCTTACTATTGGCCGACGCTGGTCATGTGTGTGATGCGTGTGACGTACAACAACAGATCATACACTACACCACACAATTACACTAGTTTTTTTTGCGCACAAAAAGAGTTCTCGTTGTTTGATAAACTTAAGATGTCTTTAATAACTTTTCGAGGCCGGCAAGTCTCAATCTCTCAAGAAGCCTATGGACTAGTATGCAGGAAGGATCCAGCTCTCAGATTTCGTCAAAAAATATCTTAATTTGTGTTCCACAGATGAACGAAGGTCTTTCGGGGTTGGAACAACATTAGGGTTAGTAAATACTGATATAATTTTCATTTTTGGGTGAACTAACCCTTTAAATGCCCTATTTAAACTAAGGCGTAATCCTGGCTGAACATGAGCCCTGTCTGTGAAACCGGGCCTGAAAGAACTATAAATAAGTATTCTGTGGGATGATTCCTCTTTAAAAACTTTGCAGGGCCAGTTGTTTGTTCAACCAATGACAGATGGGAAACTTGTATGCAAACAGGCATTATTTCTGCAGTTCTGTTTGTTGACAGCTTGACGCCAGTGTTGACATCTCGTGGCAATTTGTACTTATTTTATTGCTCAATTGGTGGCTATTCGTATGAAGGCATACAATCTCATTTGTACATGTTTGTACGATCTGCTTACGCCCCAGTGATGGGTTGGTTTAGGGGTGAACCTTCAGCCCTACTTTTTTCTATTAGTCGTACATTTGTGTACGATTCACATTGTACAAATTCATGCGAAATTCCCACCAAGTAACATAGTTACGTTTTCCTGTGAGATTAGGTTAGTATTTACGGAGGCCCTAAATGGAAATGGTGAAAGAAAAAAAAAAAACATGAGATGTAGGAATAATTATTTGTCAATGCTTTAGGGCTCTCTTGCAAATGTTTTGCGTTCTCCTGAGAAACTTTGCGTTCACTCGCGAAGAACTCAAAAGGTTTTGCGAGCGAACGCAACGGGGGAAACACAAAACATTTGTGAGAGAACACAAAAGCATTGACTTATTATATCCTTTTTTTTCACCACCATGTCCTAAGGGCTCTGTAAGTATTTAATAAATTACTGACTTTACAACAAATATTGACTACTTTTCAAAATATAAATGTATTTGAAAGAGGTCTCTTATGCTCACCAATCAATTTCTTTGATCAAAAAGTTACTATTTAAAAATGTAATGTGATGCAAATCTAAATTTTCAGTCTTCAGTGTCACATGATCTTTCAGAAATCGTACAAATATGCTTCTGCTGCTCAAGAATAATTCCTGATTATTATTAATGTTAAAAACAGGTGTAGAAACTGAGATACATTTTTGTTTCAGGATTTTTTGATAAACAGAAAGTTCAAAAGAGCATTTGAAATAGGTAGATTTTATAACATTATAAACGTCTTACCATCACTCGCTGAATAAAAGTAATCATTTCCCATAGCCCTCAAACCGTATTCACTTTATTGCCCTTAATCCTGTAATTGTGGACAAATGTGGGCACAGAGGACTCAGGTGTGATCCTAATTTTTATTTTATTATAAATGTTATATCATTGTCTTCGATAAAGTTTTGTCTATCCATATATGGTGTTTTTTTTTATTTTGGGTGTATTTTTGAATTTATTTACTTCAAAATGTACCATATTTTCCATGTAAATACATTTTTTTTTAATATCATTCCAGTTTTTTTTCACCCACTTAGCATTGCAGAATTGAGTAAGAAAAAAATGTGTGTGTTCACGAGGCAAACTTAGGAAAAGTAGCCAAGTCTTGTACCGCCCAGATCAAGGGAAGTATTTTTTAAAAATAAATCAAAACTATTTTGCCCACATTTGTCCAGAATACGGTTTTAGGGTTAAAAAACCTAGACCTAAAAAGACGTAGAGCTCTCTTAAGATGCTTGTCCTGCCCTCAGACTCATCTGATTAGACCTTTCTCACAAACTGACATTGATCCGCAGGGTTGCATGACAAAAGTGGATCTATTTTTAACTTAGACACAGAGACAAATAAGAAGAAAAAAACAGTGACAGCGACCTTTAGACCATCTCCATGGCGCATGCTTTCATAAACCAAAAAGTTAAGCGTAGACTAAACACAAGAATGCATTCTCTAATTCAAAGACCAGGCACAAAATGAATGCATGCATAAAAACACTTCTCTAATGGAGAGCGTGGGATGCCACCCCAATTGTTAGTATCAAAGTCTGTTCTCTAGCTGTTTCCCACCACCCCCTTCCTCTCTCTCTCTCTCTCTCTCTCTCCAGCCTCAAATTTATTCTCCTCCGCGGGTGCCGTTTTAGTGGTGGGCTATGCGTCGAGGTGCAGAGAGGGCCAGCGTGCGCTGGTTTTATTGCATTGCCTACAGGCTGGTTGAACCACACGACTCGCACACGACTCCCACCCCCTCCTTCACACCACAGATGAGGCTCCACTCAGTCCTGGGCTCCGCTACACCCCTCTTCCTCCATCCGTACCTCTCTCAAGGGGCCCCTGGGAGCCGAGGGTGGATTATTATGGAAATACTATCATCCACTGGCCCTCTGAAGCACAGCTGGGCAGGGCCATCATTACATGCACTGTGGCAATCTGTTCTGGGAAGGGCGAACGCAAACGTCACGGCACAGATGAGAGTGGCACGCATAGATCACAGAAAATGTGATTAAAATGTGAAGAATGCAAAAAACATCTTATATCAAGTGCCTTCAAAATGACCTCCATAAATTGAGTTCTTTTTGCCTCCGGTTTTATTAGGGCGTATAAATACATTTTCATCTGGGATATTTTATGTCCACCTGCATTAGAGCTGGTTTCTAATGCTGTTGTGTGTTACAGCGCTGATATCAGCGGCAAACGTCACCGGTTTGGTTCCTGTCGAGGAACGGGTGGTGTGTCCGTGTATCAATCATAGTCACCCGGTCTGAGCGCTGACCAGCCTCTGAGTGATTGCGTTTAGTTCCTTACGAGATATTTCTGCTGTGCTTGTTATCAGATTAACCCGCCCACTGAGGCTTATCATTCACTGCCCAATAAACGGGGTCAGTCACATCCATCAAATTACTGTACTCGCGCTTTCTGCCTCAATCTCCCTTACTTGCTCAAGTAAAGCTTATTTGTAAATGTAAACGAAGCAGTAAGACTGGTTCAACCTGAGTTATAAAATCCTCATTTACATATGCTGTCATTGATTTTTAGAAAAAGTATTCATGACGTATTCTCATGCTTAAAACAGAGGTGGTTGGCTCGTGGAATTTGTCACAATGATCCATTAAAAATGCATAGAACCTCATTAACTTTTGCAGAGACAGAAAGCTATTTCTTTTTATATCACTTCTTTTTATATATATTTCCAATATTGGATTCAAGGCGACATCTTTATGATCTTTTGAATTCAGTGTGTGAAAAAAATTGATTGTGATTTTTGAAAATATGCTAAATTTAGGGCTGTCAAACGATTAATCGCGATTAATCGCACCCAAAATAAAAGTTTGTGTTTACATAATGTGGGTGCACTGTGTATAATTATTTTGTATATATATAAACACACACACATGCATGTATATTTAAGAAAAAAAATATTATTTATATATAAAATATTTATATTTATATATAATATAAATCATATATAAATCTATATTTAGTATATACATTTCTTTAATATTATTTCTTATAATATAATATTATAATTAATATTATTTTAATATTAATATTTCTTTTATATATACAAGCATGTGTGTGTATTTATATATATATATATATATATATATATAAAATAATGATACACAGTGCACACACATATATATTATGTAAACACAAACTTTTATTTTCGATGCGATTAATCGCGATTAATCATTTGACAGCCCTAGCTAAATTGTATTTTTTTTTTTTAATACTTTATTTAATTTTTTATTACACATTTTTTTTATCATTATGCATTTTTTTTATTTTGTAATTAAGTTAATTTGTTTTACCGCAGGGCTGTTTAAATGGCAAAAAAAAAAAAAAAAAAAAAAGGTTAGTCACATCACTAAGCATTAGACACTGAATATACATTTTCCAATATAAACTGTAACCTAAAATCTTGCCGTTAATTAACCAACCTCCAAAATGAAAAAGTGCTCATTTTTCTAATTGCGGCCTCACGGCATGTGCGTAGACATGCAAAACACGCGTCTTGTAATCAAACACACTCTGAGCATAAGGGCTTATTAATTATTAGTGCCCACTTGACTTCATATTGTGCTGCTGGTGGCCTGGTCAAAGATTATAATTACCACTTTGCTGTTTGTATCGTATTCATCTCATCTTGCCTATAGTACTGTATTACTCTCAGCATCTCTCTCTCTCTCTCTTTCACTCTCTCTCTTTCTCTCTCTCTCCCGTACACAAGACCAAAAGTGCAGGCACATCATTTATTGATAAGACAAAAAGAATGTAATGAAATTATCAATGTTCTTGAATTAATTATGAACATGATTAAGAAAGCTAAAATCTCAGGAGCCGGGATCTCATTACCCATTCAGTCTCAGGGATTGCTTTCATTCAGGGAGAGGCTAAAGAAGCCGTCCACCCGGCCCGGCTCGAGCAGTCGTCTCTCGCCCCGGCGTGGAGCTCCTCTTTACCCTGCTCCTCTGTCCCTGATTTACTCCCTGCGCCGCTCCGTCCCGCCGGAGCCAAATGAGATCCGCCGAGAGGTCCTGACCTTCCCCTCTAGGTAGCAGCTCCTCACTGGAGGTAAGAAACACAAGCTGGTTTTACTGGACAGCAGCCGCCCGGCTCGTGGTTTAGGTGGAAAATGATTGTGGAAAATCTACTTTTCTGTTCTTTCAAACTGTGAAGCTGTCTTATGTTTGTATGGGAGGGTATGTGTGTGTTTCTTTAAAGTCAGAGGACACGTTTAGTTTGATTTTAAGTTTGCAATTTGCATATTGACTTACAGTACAGTATTTAAGGCCACAGAATGTGAGGCCGTTCACGCAAACTATCATTAACATGAGTGCTTTGACTAAAATCATTTCAAATATATCCATTTTCTGGCAAATTAATTGGCCTTTTATATATATGCTCTGCAAAATTAAATTTGCATGCTTTATGAGTAAAGTGGATTTCTTTCAAACAGACTTTATTAATTATTAAAATATTTTCTGGAGTTCTAAATGTTCAGTTTGGTCCGATAAAGCATTCAATCCTCAGTTGTGTGTCAAAAGTTTTCCAATTTTCTTCGGGTGTCTGTCACGTCAGTCATTCAGGATCTTCGCTGTGTGTTTTTTTTTTTTTATACCTGCTTGTTTAGTGTGCATTAGAATGAGTCGCTCTTGTGGAGACGAGAATGACAATCTCTCTTTCTTTGGTCACATGGGGAAATATGCGCCAGTATATGGGCGTCCCCAAAGGAATGGAGCTGGGGTTTGAGAGTCCCATCGCTCCCTTCCTGTCTATCTTTCTCATATCCCTGCCTCTTTTTTCCGTTCTCTCAATCTCTTGTGTCTTCCCATCATCAGGCACACATTTACAGCACTACTGCATTGTAAAAGCGTGTGCAGCTGGCGGAGAACTTGTCGCATACCTTCTCGACTATTGTGAGGCCCTGCTGTAAACATATATAAGTGTCCTGATGTCTTTAATAAGACCTAAACAGCTAAGAACACCCCAAACTGCCATTATTCTTCTAGATAAGAAGGTTTATATGTATGATATTGGTGTTTTGCGCGGTCTCCGCGGATAAGGAAGCCTGTGGAGGATAATGAGAGCTCTCTGGCCTGAGGATTGATCCGTGTATTGGATCTCACATAAGACTGCTGTTACTGGATATTACCCAGCGCTATCGGCCAGCCGTGATGGCCTCGTGATAAGAAGTGCTTACCAAAGGGGAAGCTCCTACAGGGCAGATACGGTTTCTCAGCCGCCCTCAGGGGACCGTCAGCCTCATGCTGCTGAGCTCAGGAACTTTTTACCTCATCAAGTAAATTCAGACCCTTATCAAGTTACCAAGCAGGCCTCTTCCAGTCGAACAAATATTTCTGCCCATTGTCACTGTCGGTGCTGAAAGAGCTTGAGCGGTCGCATTACAGGGCAGCTGCTTTTCATTGATAACCTGGGAAATTTGGGAGGTGATGGATTTGTTTGGGTAATTAGAAGTAGTGGACGTGCTAAACTTTATCTCTGATTAGCAAGTGCACAAGTGCTTTCTCTGGGAGTCGTTACTTTTAAGATTCGAATTCACGTGGGACGAGAATTCCCAAACAAATTATCCCGAATTTACAGTCCGGATTGAATCTGTTGACGTTTTTACGTCCTTTAAAGATAATGGCATTGTTGACAATGCAATCTACGTCCTGTAGGGCAGTTTAGTGTGCTCTGGACCTCTAAAAAATGCTAAGCTCTCAGATAATGAAGTGGTCGGCACGTAATGTGCCATCTCGACAGTTTCATCGGGAGTTGTCCAGCCCTTCGGCGCAGGGTTTGTTTCTACCGCTGCGGCAGAATGAGCCAGGTGGCATCTGGTACCCGTTGCGTGCCAGCGGAGGAGGGCCCAGATGGTGCGTTAAGCAGGCTAATTATTTCGACACAAAACTCTGATAACGCAGCCCGCCGGGGTCCAGTTTCCCTCTTTTGAATCTTACTCACCGGGCTTTGTCTTGGAACCGCCTTCCCTCTCTTCCAGTGAATGTGTCCTTGCGGGGTTGAGTAACTGGATCCCGCAAACTGGTGGTAAATTGTGAGCGATCCCATGCAGTGGGAGGTGACAGCTGTAATGTTAGTCCTGAGAGGTGTCGTGGTACAAAACGACACACTGGTTTTAGTCAATTACATAAATACTTGGATGGAGAAAAAACGAAATCCTAAAATCTGTCGCACTACCACAAACTCTATCTTTAGGAAGGGTTGAACTGATCGTTGTTCTCTAGGATCGCTGACATCAACCATGTTAAATGCAAATTATAAAATGCAACATACGCTGTCGTGTAAAATGTCTTTTTTTTAAAGAATATTCTCGATCAAAAGTGACATTTAAGACTTTTATGACATTAAAAATAAAATTTAGTTAAAGAATCGTGTTAAAAAAGTACTGAAAATATTCAAATTAGGGCTGTCAAATGATTAATCGCGATTAATCGCAACCAAAATAAAAGTTTGTGTTTACATAATAAATGTGGGTGCACTGTGTATAATTATTCATGCTTGTATATATTTAAGAAATATTTTCATGTATATACTGTATATAGATTTATATATAATTTATATTATATATAAATATAAATATTTTATATATAAATAATATTTTTTTCTTAAATATACATGCATGAGTGTGTATTTATATATATATATATATATATATATATATATATATACAAAATAATTATACACAGTGCACCCACATATATTATGTAAATACAAACTTTTATTTTGGATGCGATTAATCGTTTGACAGCCCTAATTCAAATAGAAGATAGTTATTTTAAATTGTTACATTTTTACTGTATTTTTGCTCAAATAAATGCAGCCTTGTTGAGCATAAGAGACTTTGTTCATAAACAGTATAAAATCTTTTCTCAAATCTCAGACCCTTATGAACGGTATTGCATCATGTACTTATAATAGAAAAATAAATAGTCTTCAAGTTTTAAAATGGTGGATGAAAATACTTCCTTTAGCCTTTTGTTGTCAGCATAAAAGATTGTGTGTCCAATTAGTAGGGCTGTCAAACGATTAATTGCGATTAATCACATCCAAAAATAAAAGTTTGTGTTTTCATAATATATGTGGGTGCACTGTGTATAATTATATATATATATATATATATATATATATATACACACACATGCATATACATTTAAGAAAAAAAAATATTTATATATAAAATATTTATATTTATATATAATATAAATTATATATAAATCTATATACAGTATATACTGTACTGTACATGAAAATATTTCTAAAATATTTACAAGAATGTGTGTGTATTTATATATATAAAATAATTATACACAGTGCACCCACATATATTATGTAAACACAAACTTTTATTTTGGATGCGATTAATCGCAATTAATCATTTGACAGCCCTACTAATTAGACACTTGCCAAATTGGGTAGATATTATGGATTGGATAATTTGTAGAAAAAAATATACTTGTGTGCCTATGAGTGTTTTGTGAATAACTGGCTGTAATTAACAACAACAAATGTTCAGTTTTATCTACATTAAAATGGACAGTAGGTTATGTTATTTGACCTACATCTCATTGCAATACAAATATTAGTAAATATTGTTAAATATTCGATTTTTAAGGATAAATTTGCTTACTTTTCTTACTATATAAATAATTGTCAGATAACAGCAATTACAGTAGGAAAAAGGTCCAAAATTGTATTGATGGGTAATATAACACACAATATTTCAGAGCTCAGCACTGTGGGCAAATAAAACAGTAGTTTTGACGGTGAATGGTCACCATTTCCCCATCCATTGACCGGGCCGTTACTGTCCAGCGATAGGGCCACTGAGTAATGGGTCAATAAAGGCCAAGTCAGTGCGGAGCACCTGCTATCAGAGCGCCGCAATAATGCCGCAATACCTCTCGCTTTCCCTTAAGAGACCGCGGACCTCGTCATGCAGTCCAATCCAAAGTCCTTCTCATAATAAGGGTCACTTACTAAGTCAACATTAAAAGCCTATTCCATTAGGGGTCCAAAATTACACTGGACTTTAATGTCTTCAAACACCAGCAGTTAAGAGCGAAACAGCTCATGTACATTAGCAACACATGTTGAAATAGTCATGAGTTTATTATCGAATCACATGTTTGGCTACACAAATGTTTTTATTCATGGCATACATCTGTTTCCAAGTCATGCTTTCCACATGCCTTATGATGGCTCTTTTGGGAACTGCAGATTGTAGGAAAAACGATATTTACTGCACGGTGAATTTCCACCTTTGAGTTAAACCCTTCATTGATTGTGCAATGGGAGGCTGCCTCCTCCTCCTCCTCCTCCTCCTCTGGTGGACAGAAACACCTCCACCTCAATAAAGACAAGGTGCAGGCCTCCGACTGATAACCTGCTGACTCCTACATCACAGGTGTCCCCTCTGAAATTGAGTCCTACATCATGATCAATTGGTTGATGTCATGGATGAGTAATGCTACTTTACACACGTTAACCCACACACACACATACACTTTAATTAACACACTTTCACTCAAACTGATCATTTTCCTGGGCTTAAGCATTTAATTTAACAGTCTTAAATTAAAATAATGTGATAATTGTTTTCTCCAACCTACAAATCTAGACTTTTTGTAACACAAATGAACATAATAAAAACCTCCAAATTATGCTTAAAAGCCTATATTGGGAGATTAGGACAGCAAAAAGTAACCGTGCGCTCTGTAACTATTAGTGTATTAGCTGTATTATTTTTATGTGACATGTAAGCATTTTTGTGATATATTTTAAAGGAGTAGTTCACTTTTCTTTTTTTTTTTTACTTTTGCTGATGAATTACTCACCCCATGTCATCCAAGATGTCCATGTCTTTCTTTCTTCAGTTGAAAAGAAATTAAGGTTTTTGATTAAAACATTCCAGGATTTTTCTCCATATAATGGATTTCAATGGGAACCAAACGGTTCAAGTCCAAAAGACAGTTTCAGTGCAAACTGCAAACTGTTCAAAGGGCTTTAAATGATTCCAGACGATGAATAAGGGTCTTATCAAGCAAAACGAT